ATATAAATATATATACATATATATATATATATATAAGTGTGTGTGTGTGTGTGTGTGTGTGTGTGTGTGTTTGTGTCTGTGTGTGATAGAATGCACGCATTGTCTGATATAAGCTGCACGAGTGTGAGAGCAATACTGGAGTCTGTGTGCATAATTCGTGAGGTGTTGAACCCAACCATTCTTAACGTCCATGCCAACTGGGCTTACCTACCGACAGCTACAAAAAAACCCCTTTCGCAGAGTTTAGACAAGTCTGTGTGTTTAGAAATAGTTTTGGTGCATCCCTTGGTATACATATATCGTCATAGAACTGTACACTATGCCAAACAGATCCTTGAGCTCAGAAAGACTTAGAACGATGTTAAATAAAGTATCTACCGATAGAGTTGTGCATACAGGTATGTTATTCCGAGTGTATTCTCGTGCGCATATAAACCTAAACCCCTAAATCCTAAACCCTGAACCCTAAAAACCCGATATTGTAGGTAACTTCATAGGTCATTGTGTCTTATCGTGGACATATGCACCTATACAATCATATATTCACTTATATGTAATACATTGATACTAACACAGACTTAAATATATTACATTTATATTAACACAGCCTTATATACACTACCCTATTCACCAACACAAGTATTGTACTATCTTACTTATAAATAATACAGTCATACTAACACAACCTTATTATATACACTACCCTCTACACCCACACAAGTACTGTACTACCTTACTTATATATAATACAGTCATACTATACACAACCCTATATACACTACACCCTACACCCACACAAGTATTGTACTAACTTACGTATATATATTACAATCATACTAACACAACCTTATATACACTATCATTTACACTAGCACAAGTATTGTACTACCTTATATATATTACAGTCATACTAACACAGCCTTATATACTACCTACTAACACAAGTCTTGTATATTACATCCACACTACCACAAGTCATATAGTTTGGTACTACCTTGTTGACTGGATATATTACCTACTAACACAAGTCTTGTATATTACATTCACACTACCTCAAGTCATATAGTTTTGTACTACCTTACTTATATATAATACAGTCATACTAACACAGCCTTATATATTACCTACTACCACAAGTCCTATAGTTTTGTACTACCTTGTTGACTGGTAAGTGCGAGAACAGTTCCAGACCACTGACAGACTTCTTTGTGGTAACTTTCGTTTGTTTGGGATCACCTGTGGCTATTTGGCCTTGCCTCGCTTTGCTCTGCAGGATGCAATTGGGACTATTATTTAGTATTGGCATATGGATAAGATTAGAGCTTGCAATTGGGACTATTATTTAGGATTGGCATATGGATAGGACTAGAGTATGCGTGGTATAAAGAGAATGGGTATCCAGAAATTAGAATAACTGGGACTATTATATAGGATTGGCATATGGATAAGATTAGAGTATGCGTGGTATAAAGAGAATAGGTATCCAGAAATGAGAATAATTGGGACTATTATTTAGGATTGGCATATGGATAAGATTAGAGTATGCGTGGTATAAAGAGAATGGGTATCCAGAAATGAGAACAATTAGGACTATTATTTAGGATTGGAATATGGATAAGATTAGAGTATGCGTAGTATAAAGAGGTTTTAGGGGTTTTTCAAAGATATGAACTCTCCAGAAATGAGATTAATTAAAACTATGCAGAACGCGAATAATTCGGAACTGGAGGGGCCGGCATATTGAACCCTCGTAGACAAACGTATTGGTAGGTGTGTATGTGGGTGGGTGGTGATTCAGTCCCATGTGTGGCGGTGCCTATCGAGACAGCCGCGTATAACGTTAATTACTACGAAGATTGATAGACCAACAACACAAACGATTGCTCGACCAAGTATTGGTGGAGATTGGGTAAACGTTTGCTCGATCAAGCATTGGGGGAGATTGGGTAAACGTTTACTCGATCAAGTATTGGGGGAGATTGGGCCTAGTACTGGCACCAGGGGCTATGATCCGCAAGAGAACAAAGTGAAACGCACCATGGAACGGAAATATGACGGATAACCGCAATAGAAACGCCTAAGAATCACAACACACCCACAACACTACATGGAAGCAGTGCACGTCCCGGAAACGGAACGGAAACGCAAACGCAACGAAAACGGAAACGAACCGGGATGAATGCGGACTTAAGAGCACGTCTACGGATGTGAAACATACTACAGACGCGCCAGGTAGGATTAAACTTTAGGACTAGGGTTTTGGTAGGATTAAACACTACGACTAGGTATTGTATTGTTAGTTATATGAAACGGTTACGATTGCCGTATGGATTGCGTTACAGTACCGTCACCCCGTTAACGTATGTGTATGTACTATCACCCCGTTAACGTATGTGTATGTACTATCACCCCGTTAACGTATGTGTATGTACTATCACCCCGTTAACGTATGTGTATGTACTATCACCCCGTTAACGTTGTGTATGTACTATCACCCCATCAACGTATGTGTATGCTGGGGACTTGTGGTCTATTGGCAGTGTACACGCGCCACAGCGTCCTGGAGATCTGGAAAAAAAACAGGGCTCCCCATACACAGGTACCTATTGTTGCTGGTTTAGTACGATAGGTGTACTGAATAAAAATAAGGCTCCTCATACATATATACCTGTTGTTGCTGTTTTAGTATGATAGGTGTACAGAATAAAAACAAGGCTCCCCATTCATATGCATCTGTTGTTGCTGTTTTAGTATGATAGGTGTACTGAAGAAAAAAAAACAGGGCTCCCCATACACATTTCACTGTTGTTGCTGTTATATTTCGATAGGTGTACTTAATAAAAACAGGGCCCCCCATACATAGAGATACCTGTTGTTGCTGTTATAGTACGATAGGTGTACTGAATAAAAACAGGGCTCCCATCCATATGTACCTGTTGTTGCTGTTTGTTGTTGTTAGTCGGTGCGTTGGCCCCCCCTTTGGCTTTCTTCGCATTGGCGTCTATGGATTTACCTTTTGCGCCTGCTTTGCCCAGTGCCGCTGCCTTCTTCGCACGTTGTGCTTCCTGATATTTGGGTAGAGACCATACAAGTA